CGATAGTGTATTTAATTTTGTCATTTTGTGGGTTTGTGATAAAAATGAAAGAAATAATCACTAATCGAACACTAACATCACATATCGCCACAGCTAGTTAACGAGAATGGCAGAAATTAACACATTCTAACTTTTCGGAAATTTTAACTCATTATTGATGACAACACGTGCAAATATTATTTTGAATAAATTCTGCCGTTTTGATACAAAACAAAAGAGGAGCTATTGTGTCACTAAAGAAATTCAGAGAACGAATGCATAAAAACATTTCTCTTCGACATAATGCACTATAATTTGCAGGTAAGTACAAATGACTCTTAACATAATGTTGTACCACCCTTCGTATACCACCCTGCCGCCGTGTACTTGCCTTCGATAACTCATTTGTTTTTATCGATAATGGCGTTGCACCCGCGCAACATGCTCACTGCCCTAGCCGAGCTATCTTTTATGACCCAAACTGCAGCGACAAAATAATTCTAATAAAGGTAGAAAAAAATGTGGATAAGTCGGTCGGTTCATTTCGAGCGATTCGACTGTGCCGGTGTTCAAATGCACATGGACCAATTGTTTTAATGAAATACGTACATAAAATACGGACGACTTCAACTATAATGGTGTAGCATCGTTTAAAAAGAATCGTATGCCTCCAAATATTATACTAATATATAAATCTACAGTTGTTTTACGGATGTTCTGTTCAAAATCCATGTCAAGTGGTAGTTGACAAGACATAACAACGGATAAATACTCAGCCATGCATCCGATTGACTTGAAACTTGGCTAGTAGAAAATATATTATTATGTAGGTACTTATTTGATAGACTAATATTTAAATGAGTGTTGGACTTCATAATAATAATGACAATAAATAATAATGTTAATTTTAAATGCCCAGCGAAGCGGACGAGTGCGGCTAGTAATTTATATAAATAGTTGATTGTATTTGATGGTTGCCTTTTGAGATATTCAGTACCTACGTGCGGCATCCACTCATAAAATCATTAATCTTGCCAATCCATATTTAAAATACATAATATTTAAAATTCCATATCTAATATATAAAATTCTCGTGTCACAGTTTTCGTTGCCATACTCCTCCGAAACGGCTTGACCGATTTTGATGAAATTTTTTGTGCTTATCCGGTATCTATGAGAATCGGCTAACATCTATTTTTCATCCCCCTAAATGTTAGGGGTAGTCCACCCTAAAATTTTTTTTTTTAATTTTTAGACAAAAAATTTTTATTTTATATTTTTATGATACAGCATACAAAAATACATACAACCCTAAATTTTGACCCCTCTACGATTAACCCTTATTTTTTATTTGCTAATTAAAAACTTTAAAATTTTTTGCGAGAATTTTGTTTTTATTTTGCATTACGTACAATAAAAAAATTCATATTACTCTGAAATTTTCACCCCTCTACGATCAACCCCTATTTTTTATTTGTATAAATATTATTGTTTATAATTCATCATCATCAGCCTGTATCTATCCACTGCTGGATGTAGGCCTCTCCCATAGTCCGCCACAATGAACGATCCTCCGCCCTCCCAGCATATCGCCGCAAGTCATCGGTCCAACGGGCATTGTTTATAATTATATAAACTTTAATTTTTTTGGCAAGATGTTCATTTTTATTTTGTCATGAATTAAAATAAAAAATCTGATGTTACTCTCAATTTTTCATCCCTCTATGATCAACCCCTATTTTTTATTTGTTAATTATAAACTTTAATTTTTTTGGCAAGTTTCTTATTTTGTTTTGTCATGACTTAAAATAAAAAAAATTATATTACTCTCAATATTCACTCTTATACGATCAACCCCTATTTTTCCATCCCGATTAATATTTTTTTTATTCTATGCACAGATCCACAATAAGGTTGCAAGATGGCAATCAAATATTATAATTGTAGTACGATAAATTCTTATTCAGAGTTTANAAATTTAATGAAATGAGATGATATGGGATGAAATATAATCGCAGTAAAATGGTGGTCATTTACTGAGATTTTTTCAGTGGACTTTTTGGAGGAACCCGAGAAGTTATGTCCAGCAGCTTTGTTTCATTTTCCCACATTTGTGCACTTTCACAGATATTAAACAGTTAATAAACCACCATTATTACACATTTAAACCTGATGAAACACTAAATAGACAAAATAAAACAAATCGCACAACTTCACTACTCGCGTTCCCGCCAAAAAGTTCCTCCTGTCTTACTTACTCGCTATACATCATAGATTATACACTTAATATATTTGAGAGCTATTATACAATACTATACATTTTTCAGCCATGTTTTTTTGGTTTTATTTGTGTATCAATAGTATGTTCAGTAGGTCTGAGGATCGGCTACTATCTATTTTTCATACCCCTAAGTGAAAAGGGTTGTCCACCCCAAACATTTATTTTTTATTTTAATTTTTTGAATTTTTTTTTTTTGTTTATAATGAGGTATTATGTGGTTAAATGAGGTTTTTTTTTCTACAGTAGAATTTCCCTAGAAATCTTATTTAGGGCAACACAACGTTTGCCGGGTCAGCTAGTTTTTTAATATAATTCCTTTTAAAGATGGAATTTATTGCCAGCCATATATTAATTACGTTTCAAATGGCCAGTATCGTAAAACGGTAACTTTATAGGTAATGATTTACTGTGCAATAATAACACAATTCTACAAAAAAAAATTCGTTCTTTGTCCTAACGCTTACCTTACCTTTACTTAATACCTTTTTTTGGTATAAAGTTTGCTTTTGTGATAGTTATAGTAATAATACTCATTTTGAATTTTTTTTTATATATATTTATTAGTTTTAATACTTTCAAAAAACCGCGCTATAAGAGTGGGGTGTTTACATTTATACAGTGCCACTAGATGGCACTCGATTCATAAACAATGATCAGGTGTTTTGTACAAGCCCAGGAAAACTTAAAATGTCACGAAAGTGTAAATACAATGCTGATGCATTTTGTTTCATATGTGATCAATTTATTAAAGTTCATAAGCAAACTGTTTCATGCCATGTATTTTTTTTCGTCTAATTCCGATCTAAAATATCGAAATTTTATGCTTTGAAATCAAAGTCAAATTTGGTGTTGACCCGTGTAATATATAATAATAACAATATTGTTTCGTTAGAGAATATAGTTGTGGTGTGATCATCAAAACTTCAATGTCGCCACCCAAACATAGACATGAAGCCTAAGTTTCAAAATCAATGTGCAATACAAAAAAAAAAACTGTCTCACTCACCCTTCAAACCGAAATTGCTTCCGGCAGCTGTGGTCATATTGTTAACTACCCGTGCAGTTGTCCAAGACGCTCTTCCAGCAGAAGTTACGCAAATCATAGATTCCATTCGAAAAACTGCTGGAATCTAAAAGCATAGTCGCATCGTTCGATACAGTACACTGGACGTCTTGCTCTTTATGCCCAGATCAAATAATTTTAATTTCTCAATAAGAAGTTCTCCTATATCTCCTTTTAGTTTGTGATTTGGCTTAAAAAACATTGTTTCCAAGCCAGTAAAATTCAATACAAAAAAAAATACCGCCAAAAAATAAAAAAATTATGAAGCAAAAGATTGCCGCGTAAAGTATTGAACCAAATTAAATGTGTTTTATTCGAAATTATGCAGTTTCGTCGGTTCACGATCATCTCTATCTCCGAAGATTGTGGAGAGGTGACGAGAGGCGGTTCCCCACCGAAACAAGCCCAAATCCTACGATAGAAACTGGACAAGTTAGTGTACACTGTACATACGGTTGTTTTTGTCTATCATCTTGTAAATTTTAAAAAATATTTTTATTTGGTAATTCGTCTGTTTATGAAAGAACGTAATTTAATATCATTTTCTCGAAGCTATTCTGTGTCGTTCCTCATTATTTGCTCCAACGAACTCTTGTACATTTTCTTTTATGTGTTACAAACAGGGAGTTAAACACTACGATCGATGGAGTTAAGAGTTAAAGAGAAGTAGGCAGTATTTCCTCAGGAATACCTTATATAATTATTAGATAGTATTTTAGAGCGACCCGCCGTGGCTTCCTACTGGTGAATTAGGATATTGTATGTACGTAGATATTTTACGTTTTATGTACATTAAAATAGTAATTAAAAATGTATTATTTAAAAAAAAATCTCATAGAACTCATCAACTGTCAACTAAAAATTTCAAGTTTGTTGCTCCAATGACACGTTGATGTTTCATGGAATTTACTAAAGTTGCAGAAAACGTTTTTTCGTCTTTCTTAAACAAATTATAGTTATGTTTTATTAACATAATATGTTGGTTGATAATTTATATGCCATTTTGTAGGCAGTGGCATACTCTCATTGGTAGAGATTTCGGGACCCCTCATTAAAAAATGTAACAAGTAAGTAGTTTTGATAGATCTGTTTTGAAAACTATCTAAAGAATTCTAAACAGATCGTATAAGTGAAAATCTGAGGGCACTTCTATGGCTAAACTTCTCTAACAATGTCTTGTTAATATTTGGGCTGAGTGGCTAAAGATGTATTTTGCTACAGAAGCATCAACTTTGACCTGAACTTGCAAGGAACAGTTCTGTGATACCGCTACACACATACAACACTGCATTAAATCTTATAAATGTAACAATTTTAATTCATTCATTTAAATCATTCTGTCAAATTTTTCTTTTTATTTTATTAAATAATAAAACTATGAATTATAATAAGCTTCAAAATGTATCCAATTTATTTGTTCTTTCATTTATTTAGCTGACAAAAAACAAAAGAAATATTGCAAGAAACTATTTATTCTGTTGTTTGTAAAATATGACATTTTACATTAAGAAGCAAAAGTACAAATAGTACATTAATATTATTTATTGCAACTTTTAAATTACCAAATAAAAACTTTTTCTCCAACCTGCATATTGGAATGTAGATACACATACCACACACACATTCATACATTCCGTCCAATGATTAAAAAATGGAGTGAAAATAAAATATTTCCAGAAAGATGTAATATGTATTGATTCTTATTTATTAACCACTTACAAATAGATAAGACACCAAACAATATGGGAGTGACAATTTAGTACCAATACTCGTGGTGACTACGACTTCAAACCATCACCATCTCCATCACTATCGTTTTAATGAGTAGAATTATATTTTGAATTTACATAGTACACTATTAATAGATCATACACAATCATCGAAATACGTACATCAATATTGCACAGCAAATGTACAGAAAATAAATTACGGTTACCAAAAATAGTCCATGGTAACATAAATTAGCTATCTTCAACCAGCTCTGTTTCTTCCTACCATATTCGCTGTTCTTGAGGCCGTCCTTCAAAATAAACTTTCTTAAGCCGATGCACCAGATCGCCATAAAACGCGAGCAATCGATCTTCGCAACATCAAAATTGAACAATATCCTGTCAGTTTTTGAAATTTGGTTCAACATGGCCATAGTGTTGTCATCGACAAAATTCCACTGGTTTGTCAGGAAATAACCGTATCGCAAAGACATGTTGTATATCTTTTCATAAATTTTGACGAATCTGCAATTATAAAACATTGCTTATTAGACATTTCGTCTTCTCCCATTAAAACTGTATAATCTCAAAACTTACTAATTTTACAGGAGAGTGTTCTAAAGGTTTAAAATGTGATATTTTTAATATTAATCATCTTTGCAACATTTATTTTTTATCAGCTACATTATATGTCCTTCAGAGTAAGATAAAATTATGTATTAATTTAGTTAATAGTTGTCAAAACATAGGTAAACTAAAAAAAAAAATTTAACTACGCTCTTTTGACAGTATTTATTTGAAAAATACTGATGATACCCCAAATGATTCCGCATATTAACTCAATTTCGAATACTTTAGGAAATTGTACACTTTTCAAGCGAAAAGACGATTTAACAAGAAATGAAACCAACAATAATGGATCAAATGACTATGTATTTAAGTTTTTTCGATAGATATAGGACAGAAAGTAGTGTAAAATATATTTTATTACTCTTATAGGCAGACGAGCATGCGGTCCACCTGATGGTGGGTTGTTACCTCATGGACTTCAGCAATGCCAGAGACACAGCCTAGCCGCTATCTAAAAATACAAGCTGATAAAGAAAATTTCTAAAGTAGAAATTTCGCTTATAATATGCTATTGGCACGATTACACACAATGGCCAACGGTGACATACATTAATATTTGAAAAACATAAATCACATAAGATGATTTTACGCATATCAGTTTCAAACGAAGCCAATAACCTGTATTTTTAAGAAAAGTACCGCTTGAAATTGTTTGCAAATTTATATATGTTTTATTTACTATACCATATCTATGCGTAACTTTGGTATCATTATGAATTTTCTGTTGTAAGCCCGGCTGTGTCCCATAATATCTCTTACCGACATTTTTTTTTCCTACCTATGCTGATAGCCTTGAGAGGCTATTTCAGCTTCACCCTAACGTTTGTAGGTGAGCTCACGGGGCTCCACTGGAGAGTTGCTAACACTGACCCTAGCAAGAGCAGTGCTTCACAGAATCTACCACCGGATCGGAAACGCGACCCACTGAGAAGATCCGGCGAGAAACTCAGTGGGCTGTGTCTATGGGGTCAATTCGCTTCGTCGCAAGCGACGGGTTCAACGAGGACGGTGACCGTTAATGGATCAGGAGGATCCGTAATGACGTGCTTTGGGCGACGTCGACGGTTTACCATTCGGTCTACTGGGTCGGGTATGTAGTTTCCAGCGGCTACGATGAGAGGGTTCTCATGTCGTGCCGCCTTCTCAAAATGGCGCAGCGATGCCGACTGTAGGTACTTACTAACTGAGTCGAGCTCCAAGTCATCGTGGAGATTCACGTTTTTCAGGAACCATGGTGCTCCGACGGCTATCCTGCAGAATCGGGATTGAATAACCTGAAGGGATTTCAAGTGGGTGCTGCCTGCGTGAGCGAACACTACGCTTGCATACGTCATAACGGGGCGTATACAAGTTTTGTAGAGAGTTACCTTATTACGGAGGGACAGTTTGCTTCGTTTACTACAAAGCATTGGGTAGAGTCGTCCTAGTATAAAAGCGGCGCGATCGCGTACCGTTTCTATGTGGGGACGGAATTTCATCCCTCTGTCGAGGGTGACGCCTAGGTATTTGACCTTTGAGGCCCACGGTATGGGCTGACCAAAGAGAGTGATTGGGCTAACGGCGGAGGTGTTTGCGCGCCTATTAAGGAGTGTGATGCTCGAAGTAGTGTTCGGAGGGCGACCCCTTTTGAAGAGCACCGCTGCTATGCTTTTCGTGGGGTTGATGTCGATTCGCCACTTCCGGAACCACTGTCCCATGGTAACAAAGTCCAAGAGGCGTTTCCTAAGGAGTCGTTCGTAAATTTTTCCTATCGTCGGGAGGAGACTAATCGGACGGTAACTAGAAGTTTCGTTTTTCGGTTTGCCCGGCTTATGTATACCGATAACGTCCGCTTCTTTCCACACCGCGGGAAAGATGCAGTGCGTCATAGCGGCATTTAAAACGGTAGCCAACATTGCTATCAGATGGACTGGCAAAAGTTTTAGCGCGTGGTTGCGGATGCCGTCGGAGCCGGGTGCCTTCCTAGGTTGGAGGTTGTGAATCGCGTCTCTAACTTCGTCAGGGAAGCTCTGCGCTCGACCTCCCTGTTGACTAGCTCGTTGTGTTCGGGGTCCGCGTGTTGAGTGCTGGTGGTGCAGTGCATCGGCCAACAGCTCAGCCTTGTCATCGTCATCGAATGCCGGTGGTTGGCCTGAAGGGCGTACGAGGGAAGGCATAGTAGCGGTAGTTTCGGATTTGAGAGTCCTAGCTAGTCGCCAGTATGCTTGGTGGGAGGGCGCGAGTTGTTCTAAATAACTATGCCAATTTTCATTACGGGCGTCGCTTAGGCGGGAGTGGACTTCGCGTTGTAGACGACGCATCCCAATCCGGTTTGAATGCGTGGGAAGACGATCGTAGGCCCGAATTGCCGCGTTTTGAACTCTTAAGAGATTCCTAAGTTCGGGGGACAGTCTGATGCGGTGGAAGCTATCCTCCACATTGACTTCTTTGTAAGATCTAATGATCGTGGAAGAGATGTGATCGGTAATGATGTTTATGGATTCGGCGGTGTCCTCGGGGGATAGATTCGAATCCGGGCCGTAAGGGAGGATTGGTGGAGCGGCTTCAGCTAAGCACGTGCTCAGCTTATTCCAATCCACCACAGTCCTCGTAACAGCGACTGGGTGAGGGCGACCGAGCTGCATAACGACAGGTTGGTGGTCTGAGTCGAGCTCTGACAGTGCTTCGATGGAACGCAAGTGCAGAGTTACGTTCCTAAGCAGTGCCAGGTCTATAGTGCTCGGACGGAGCGCGATGTTATACGGATAACATGTTGGATTTGGGGGAACGACTATTTCGAAGGTGAGGTCGTCTATAAACACGTCGAGACGCCTACCGTTAACGTTAGTACGAAGGCAGTTCCACCTAGTGTGGTGGCAATTTAAATCGCCTGCCAGGATGACAGAGTCTCCCATGCCGAACAGGGACTCGATGTCACTGCTCAGGAGGGGCTTGTCCGGGGGGAGATAAACGGATGCGATGACGATCGGCTGGTGTCCCGTCAGCGAGATACGGCACACTAACGCCTCGATATGTAAGAGCGAGGGAGTATCGAGAGGGACAACGTGCAGGACCCGCCTATAGCAAATGGCAGTCCCGCCTTTGGAGGCGGTGAGTCTGTCATTCCTGACCATGACGTAATTCGCGACTTTCGAGTCACGACACGAGGGCTTCAGGTAGGTCTCCTGCTCTAACAGAATATCTACAAGATTGTCGCGGAGGAATTCGAAAATTTGATCGCGTTGCCGCGCAAGTCCGTTAGCATTCTACAATGCTAACGGACTCGCGCGGGACTCGTGAGGGAATAGTTTCTCTCTACCGTTTCGCGCCATTGATTACCGGTAAAGATTTACAAAGTGCGGGACACGGACTCGTATACGTCCATGTGGTCGAACGCGGCCGCGAGCCGCTGTTCGGGGGCTACCGACAGTACCGACCTACGAATAGCGTCTGCGAACGATCGCAGACGGTCGAAGTTAACCGCGGTGATGAAGTCGCGCACGAGTGCGAAGTCGTTGACGGCAGAGGGTTGCGGGGGACGGAACGCGGGTGCGGGGCGAGGTGCGAACAGGGGCTGGGGCGCGGGGCGTGTCGCGAGCAGGGGCTGGGGCGCGGGGCGTGTCGCGAGCGGAGGCTGGGGCGCGGGGCGTGTCGCGAGCGGAGGCTGGGGTGCGGTTTGCGTTCCCGCCTTCGTATACGGCAGCGGTTTTTTCCACGCCGAGACAGTGGGAACCGCAGCCGGCACGAAGGCGGGTTTCGGCACTGAAGGTGCCGAAGTCTGGGCCGCCGGTTCGGGGAGCTGGGGTGGGTTGAACGTTTACGCGGAGCCCTAGTACATCTATGGTAGTTCGCAGGGTGCCATTGCTTAAGGCATAGGACACAACTTGGGGGTTCGGTCGCGGTTTCCCTAACTCGCGAGCAATCTAACGTAGCGTGATCGCCGAGCCACTTCACGCAGCGGGGACGCGCGTGGCAATTACGCGCCGAGTGGCCATATAGCTGGCATCTGTAGCACTGCCCGGGAGTGCCACGTTTATGGGCGGCTTCGATGGAGACCCCGGATAGGCTGCAAACTGTCGAGAGGCATGAGATCTTCTTTTTGGCCTCCGGGGTTGATTCCAACGCGACGAGAATCATATTATAGGGCTGCTTGCCCCGCCCATTGTGCATCCAATGCACGCTAACTATAGGGAGTGACTGAGCGATCAGATCCTCCTTTACGTAGTCTATGTCTATTTCTTTCGGGACTCCGCGTATTACTACGCGGAGCTCGCAGTCCTCCTGAAGAGCATAGGTATAGAAACTTATGTTTTTTTTTCGGGTAGAGGGCCGAACCTCCTACGAGGTCCCCGCGCAAAAGGGGCGCGCGGGGTATGTGAGACTACGATCTGCAAGGTGTTGTGAGCAGACCGCGGGCCTAAGGATTTTAGGGCCCACCCACTAAACGGGCTCACCCCAAGGACGCCCAGCCGACGGAGCCTTCGAGGCGAATCGAAGGCTCTGAAACGTTGGCCGTCTCGGTACGGCAGCCCGTCCGGCCGTCCAGACGTTGCCGCTGGTGTCCCGGAATACCCCGCTGGACCAGAACCAGCCTGCCGGGTCGGGACGCGATACACCGTCGACCGGTCGCTCTATTTAATCCACGGCAGCGCGCTAGAGTGCTGGTAGCGCGCCGCGCGGCCTCACCCCCCTCAGGTCGCCCCTTGACCTTCACCGGGGGGAGGCCGCTACCTACAGGGGCCGGGACGTACGGGCGTATTCCCGCCTCCGGCCTCCGGCTCGACGGCGACGGATCGGTGCGGAAAGCGAAGAGCTCTCCCTCTCTCGCTCCGCCGCCTCCTTCTGCGAGACGGTGGACTCGCAGAAGTCGAGCATCGCCTTCCAGGACGCGTCGCTACCGAGCATCGTAGCCACGACGCGCGACAGCGAGAGGTCCTGGGAAACGCGGTTCCACGCGGTTTTTTTCCTAGAGAATCAGCGGGGGCGGGGCAGCTATTTTAGGAGCGGACGCGGGCTTGGGACGCGGCGGTGGGATTACGCGGCGAGCGGAGTCCGAGCGCTAGGCGCTTCGTGAATCGCAACGTCGGAACGTGCGCTCGAATGTGTTACGGCGGCGGGGGGCGCGGAGCGTGCCTCCGAGGCACGTTTAAAGTACGGGGTAACGGACGCGGGGGGGAGGGATTGCCACGGGCGGCTCTATACTCTAAGTACTCGGCCCTAATTGACGGATACCTATCCCGGAGGAACCCGACAATGTCACTAGCAGTTTCACTTTCTTCATGTTCCATTCTTCGGTTTTCTTGTCCGAGGGGGGCGGCCCCGGGACTTTTGTTGAACTTGCCGAAAGGTGAGGCCCCGGATAGGATTTAAAACCCCCCTGTGCTGCAGGACAGCAAGGAGCAGGGGGGGGGATGCCTAGGCCGTGAAAACGTTAATCGGCGGGGAAAAGGAAAGGAACCCGTTCGGGCTGTATAATGCTACAGCGGGCGGATACCGAGCGAGGGTCTAGTCTTGAAAAAGACTGTTATTTTGGGAAGGGCTTAGGAAATCGCTAGCCTGTGATAGTGCCACAGGAAGCCTGATCGTAGCGATTGGTTGGCTTGAAAAAGACAGTAGGTATGGCGTGGGTATTCACGGTCACTACACTGTCGCGCACAACTGTGACTTCAGAGACGCAGCTAGCAAGCGAGCAACGGATCGGAAAGCACATCCGTGCACGACCGAGTCGTGAGCGAGAATGCCTACACGTTTTAGACACCTTGGGAATATAAGCCCAGGAATACTTACGACTTTACGCCCCCAGGTCGCTTCATGGAGGTCACATTGAACACGAAGTCGGCTACATACGCAGGTATGTAATGCAGCAGCCATGTTGAAAACCAGAATACAAAATAGCTTCCAGTGTTAAAACCATAACAATGCCAAACGGCTTTCGGTGTAGCGTACTCTAATGTCTTAGGACTCTTTAGGAAATCATACATACAAGCTGTAAAAAGAGATTTCGATGTAAATAATTTAAAGTTGGGGAGATAAATATTGACGGAGGCTAAGCGTCATGATAATCGCCTTATCGTTATCGCCGCTAACTACGCTCTGAATCTTAATCACGTAGAAGTCAGTCACCGGTGACGCCCTAGGCAAGTCCTTACGGATCCAGCAGATGCAATAATTCTTGCATTAGACGCCTTCAACTCTAACACTAGGAGCAGGTTTAGGGACCCCGGTCACCGTACTCGTCGAACTCGGCAAAGAGTTCGACGTGCAACCTAACTAATGCATCAGCTCGCTGAATTTCTCGCCGGATCGTCTCAGCGGGTCGCGATTCCGATCCGATTGTAGATTCATTAGCGAAGCAGCTGCTCTTGAATTGTTAAATCTCCTTCCGAAACAGGAAAGGCCTCCGGTCTACCAATATGCTTCAATCATTAAGAAAAGGGCAGGAAAGATGGATGGAAAATGATCTAGGGGTCGGAGTCCGAAATGATGGAGTAATCAAGTGTACGAGCACCTCGTCACGAAACTGAGCGACGCACCTCACTGTGCCACTGTCCGATATAACTGGCTACAGATCACAAGAAAAGATCTCAGATGGTCACAACACGATGCTCAACAACTCTCTTCACTCTAATTGTTTTTTTGGAACCCCAAAGGGCTTATACTAGCGTTATTGAGACGGGATCTGTCACTCTCTTTTGCTTCCTGTGCGCATTAATACGCCACACGCGACAGTTCCGATACGCCATCGAACCTTGCCGTTATCACATACCATATTCCATAAGGTTGCTGATAATATCTTGTACTATTTGGTTGATCGTACTATTTGAAGTAGTCGTGGCCTAAGGGATAAGACGTCCGGTGTATTCGTGTTGAGCGATGCGCCGGTGTTCGAATCTCAGGCGGGTACCAATTTTTCTAATGAAATATGTACTCGACAAATGTTCACGATTGACTTCCATGGTGAAGGAATTACATCGTGTAATAAAAATGAAGCCCGCAAAATTATAATTTGCGTAATTACTAGTGGTAGGACCTCTTCTGAGTCCACGCGGGTAGGTACCACCATCCTGCCTATTTCTGCCGTGAAGCAGTAATGCGTTTCAGTTTGAAGGGTGGAGCAACCGTTGTAACTATACTTGAGACCTTAGAACTTATATCTCAAGGTGGGTGACGCATTTACGTCGTAGATGTCTATGGGCCCAAGTAACCACTTAACACCAGGTGGGCTGTGAGCTCGTCCACCCATCTAGCAATAAAAAATGTTGTCGATGTTATTCCTTCACCGTGGAAGTCAACCCCGAGCATTTGTTAAGTACGTATTTCATTAGAAAAATTGGTACCCGCCTGCGGGATTCGAACACCGGTGCATCACTAGATACGAATGCACCGTACGTCTTATCCTTTGGGCCACGACAACTGCTCTGAATAAAATGTGCTCACGAACGACTTTCAAAATCACGAAATACTAGCGCATTAAGCATTTTAGTGGAGGCTTCCCTCTCATATGTATAAGTCCGTGAACCCTAACATTTGTCGTAAGTTTTTCTAATTTGTATCATTTGGATACCTACATGTTTCAATTTTGCACCCAGAACAGCTTATATTGTAAACTTTAATTTCTTTTTCATTATTATTGTAACGTTTATTTGTCTCCGCTGCTGTTGCTATTACCGCATTGTTTACGTAGTCCACGGGCACTATTGGAACGTTAATATCACTCATTAAAATTACGTGCATCACGCCCAGCATTATTGTCAAAATTATCTGAAAACAAAAACAAGTTACATTGTTCCTTACGTTTGACACATTAATTTTTTTGATGACAAATGATACCGCCTTTGTGTGATTCGATAGTTGACTTTCTGAATCCAATTATAGCTAAAAAATATCAACAACAGCTTACATACGAAGATCAAAGAGTCGAAAGATACGGATCGGCGTTCTTAAAGATAAACACGATGAAAATTACATGATATATTTATTTCCCCAACTTTGATTTGCACTTACCCCACTAGGACCGATCACCGAGCTCATATCCACCCATCCAGGGGTGGGTTCATTGAGCGAACAGATTACTGAAAACGAAAAATAGCATTATTGTAATGCATTTCGATGATTATTTACAGTGTTCGTCTAAATGCAACAAGATATATCGTTAGACGCATGTTAAGTTTACGATACTTGAGTCCCTCATACCTCAAAGAGCTTCTGAAAATGCCTCTCAGCAATGCTATTCATCAGGACAGTGAGAGCTAGCGGGAAACCAAATTTCACCGAAAGAGTCAAAAACAGATCTTAGGTGCGAATTAAGGGGAAAATACATTTATTTTGTCGTTCGACAACACGCGCTCGTTAAGCTGATACCTGAAACCTGAGATGCGACATGGCTGCGTAACTCGATGCGAGGACACCTGGCGCCTTCTCTTTATACCAGGGCTTTTCTGGGTTCAAGCTTATGCTCATAATGGTTACGTAAACTAGACTAGTTATGTATGTAAACAGAATACTTGCCTACGGGTGGCCTCACTATGGCCACAGGTAAATCCTTGCCCATTGTACGCACGACATTCTCGGCTATGGCCTTCGTGAAGCAGTACGTGTTGGGCCAGTCCCTTATCAAACTGAAAACAGGAATTCATTACATATGACCGATTTCAAACTACTGCTGTCTGGACGTGCCCTCACCACCCTCGGTCCCAGAGCTCTCATCCACCCAAGTGACGCCCTGCACGTGTTCACTTCGGCTGGTCTACTCACTCAGCAGTGATGGCGTTGAGTCTGCATTCTTCGACTGTCTCCGCGAGCTGTATCATGACTTCCGGAGGGACAGGGCTTTCATAGATTTTCTCTTCCAAATCGTGATTTATTCTACTCTTGGTTGCATTAGAGAACGCAGTTGACACGTGTACGAAGGACCTAGAGATAATTAAATAAACCAGACGTTTAGTGTTGACGGGATGTGTTCTGTTTTTTATGATTACATCTTATAAGGTTATAGTCCTGGTGGTAAATTTAAGATATACCCTTTATGTGGTCCCTTGTGGTAAACAAAATAATACAAATAATTCACAGCACAAGATTCGTTATGCGGAAGAAATCACCTTAGATCTTTACAGCATTTGGCCAATTTCATGATCTCCCTGGTTCCTCTGACATTGATGAATGTGGCCTTCTTCAGTGGCTCTTCGAACCTGGTCGTGGCAGCCACATGGAATATCACATTCACCTAAAATTCATTCTTAACGATAACGCCAGTTTTGTAAATCTTGGATGTTGATTTGAAACTATGAAATATACATGTACACAATTGACAAGTGCTGGGATGTAATTAGGATGTACTTGTATAGATAGATAAAACGGTTGTTTATAGCTGGGTTTCTATAAGACAGTAAAGTGTCATCAACATTAGGATTATATTTTAACCTTCGTGCTACAAACCGAAACCTATAGCTGCTTTGTCTCATGCTGGCTCCCACCCTATCACTAATCTTGCAAGGTGTTTAATGTCAGTAAGGGGAGTATACCTCTTGCGCAAGCTTCATCCTGTCTTCATCGTTCAGGCCGACGCCTAGTTCTGAGATGTCGCCTTCGACCGGTATCACTTTCCGAGCGAAATCTGGTTGTTGAGATCGTAAATTGTCGTATACCTTAAACAATAAATAGATTTAGAACAACGAAAACAATTTGCGGTCAAACTCCGTGCGTCACAGGCATACATACACAGGCTGTATCTACACAATACAGAATGGGCAGTATCTATTTACTAATTCTAGAAGCTTTATATTCCGGTCATTTTTTATAATGAAACAGAGAAAACTTAAGAACTAAACTGACAAAACAAGCTGTATTTAGTTAATGATTCTTTATCCGTTCGTTCTGTCGAATTGAGCTTAAATATTTACTTTTGGTGACGGAATCATAAAGTATAGAAAATCTAAAAGTATGAGGTACTTTTTTAAATAAATTGACATATAAATGAATACCACAAAAGTGGGACTAACTGGCTCATTAAATTGTGACTGCAGTCTTTCTGGCATTGATTTCCCTTTTTTCGACTTCATCAATATGTAAATCCGCTTAACGTCGCATGATCTGAAACATAAATGGTATTGTCATGCCGATACGAAGTCCGCCAGATGTCCGTTTTTGCTATTTGACCACAGATATGATAACCACGGTCAAAACAATAGTATCGGGAACGTTCGAGAAGTGTTTTGGCGGTAAAAATAACACAGTCTGCTGTCAAATAGCGAAAACCACAAAACTAGGTCGACGTCGCCCAAAGCACGTTATGGATCCTCCCGATCCATTAACAGTGCTTTTAGGTACCACAAGCACCGGTCACCGTCCTTGTCGAACCCGTCGCTTGCGACGAAGGGCTCGACGAGCGAATGAACCCACAGATAGCCCACTGAGTTTCTCGCCGGATCTTCTCAGTGGGTCGCGTTTCCGATCCGGTGGTAGATTCTGCGAAGCACTGCTCTTGCTAGGGCCAGTGATAGCCACACTCCGGTTTGAGTCCCGTGAGCTCACCTACACGTTAGGGCGAAGCTGATACGGATAAGACGTCAGGTCCATTCGCGTTGAGCGATTCACCGGTGTTCGAATCTCAGGCGGGTACCAATTTTTCTAATGAAATACGTACTCAACAAATGTTCACGATTGATTTCCATGGTGAAGGAATAACATCGTGTGATGAAAGCCGCAAAATTATAATTTGCGTAATTACCGGTGGTAGGACCTCTTGTGAGTCCGCGCGGGTGGGTACCACCACCCTGCCTATTTCTGCCGTGAAGCAGTAATGGATTTCGGTTTGAAGGGTGGTGCAGCCGTTGTAACTATACTTGAGACCTTAGAACTTATATCTCAAGGTGGGTGGCGCATTTACGTTGTGGATGTCTATGGGCTCCAGTAACCACTTAAAACCAGGTGGGCTGTGAGCTCGTCCACCAATCTAAGCAATAAAAAAAGAAGCTGATATAGCCTCTGAAGGCAATCAGCATAGGTAGGAAAAAAAAACGACTAGGAATATCAAAAATGTTCTGGAAAATGGTAGACATGTCGTATCGACTGTGAAAGTGTTGTAAACACAATATCTAGCAATTGAAGTGAACGATGGTTCGCGGGGTTCACAATATCCAGGGAACACGCGAAACGACTGAGAGCCGCCATCACGAGACTTTGCCGCTTCCAGAGACCGTTTCTGCCACGTACCATTCCACTCCAGAATCAATGCCACGTGGTATTCCCTCAACGCTATTATATCTCATTTTTAAGACTTAGAAAGAGTTCAGTGGCTTGCCTGTACTCAGTATTACAAACTATCTGTCCACGCAATATCAACTTTACGAATCTAATTTGAGTTGTAAGTTGTTTAAGGCAACACCGTTCACCTTAGAAGCTTCTCTATGAGTTGTTTCCCGATGAAGCCCGTCCCTCCAGTGATCAGCGCTGTGGTTCCCGCGTAGAACTGCCGCACAGCCGACTCGCCGCGGAGCGCTTCTTCCTCCAGCGCCTTCTGACGCGAAACTTGCTCGATCTCCAACGCTAAAGCGATGTCCATTCTGGAACTATTTATTTTTTGCATGCTTAATACTAATAATATATTAGTAAATGAAACAACTGAAAGTTCAGATGCTGTTAAATTCAACTAATACTATGCTACAACTACTACTACAACTAATACTATAACATAGTATAAAACAAAGTCGTTTTCTCTGTCCCTATATCTGTCTGTCCCTATGTGAGTCGTCTATTATCAAAGGTGGCAATTTGTGCATTTGGACAATTTTTTTTTATTGATATGTCAATACAGATTTATTTGAATATAATCGTCTCCTTCAAAGAATACGGTTCAAAACCTGCATTAAATAAAGGTTAATAGTTAACCTGTTATTTATCTAAGATGTCGTTCCGAAGAGTTTTGTGACTGCCAATGGAATACAAAGTCAATAATTCGTTTTTCTGATTTACCAAATGGACATTGTCCAAAAGTCAGATTGCCGGCTTTGATAATAGTCGACTCATGTATGCTTAAATCTTTAAAACTACGCAACGGATTTTGACGCGGTTTTTTTTAATAGATAGAGTGATTAAAAAGGAAGGTTTATATGTATAATAACATCCATTAAATAGTGGAGAAATCAATAATAAATTTCAGTTTCCGAAGCGAAGCGAGGGCTAGTCGCCAGTACTATAATATAACTAACTCTCGAGCCGTAATACTCATAATACAATATCATGTTACTTAAACTGATGAGTTGAGATAGAGTTTTTACCGTACACGTACACGATGGAAGTCAATCGCTGACCATTTGTTAAGTACGTCGTATTACATAAAAAAATCGGTACCTGTCTGCGGCTTCGAACACCACCGTTGCATCGATTTATACGAATGCACCGGGCGTCTCATCCTTTAGTCAGCGACAAATTCGAACGCCTTGAAAACGTTGTCGAAGCTAATCGTACTTAGGAATGATTGAGAAAGATCTAAAATACACTGATTATGTATAACAGTTATGTTATACTTAAAATAAATTGTTTTTGATTGACCGACGCTGTTGTTCTTGTTGAGTTCTACAAGGCCACAAACACTTCAACCTCACAATCCTTAGGTTTATTTTGGCTATCATCGTTTGCTTGCGAAATTTTTGGTTCCTGATTCGATTTCAATGGGACTGAAAAGCTCTCGAGTGACGACCGTAGGCCTTCAGCAAGGCGAATCGACGACCTGTTGAAAGTCGCCGATATCCGGGATGGCAGCACTGTGGGACCGATTTTATAGCGATCTTTGCGAAGGCCTATGTCGACCACTGGACGTAGGCTGTAGGCTGATAGTAGTAATAGTAGTCATTTTGTTCTACATAAAAAAATAGTAATAGTAAATCAGCTGACCCACTCACACATACTCAATAAATTCAATTTGAAGATGGCAGCCGGGTAACTTCTTTGGTTTTTAGGCGGCTTTTTACTGGAGACAATTGACTGGAGACAATGTGTGTTATTTATACTCATACAATTAGCAAAGCTGAAGGTCTGACACATTTGCCGACTCACTTCCTGGACTCTGGAATAAATTAATATGTTTTTGTTGAACTTTAAACTCTATTACTTATTTATGAGTGCAATTGATGCATATTGAGTTTTTTTATTTAACGGGTTCCACTGACCCAGTCACGCTAGCTGTTCGTATGGAATAAATCGAGTTACTGAAACTTCCCGCGCGCGTCCGTCAATATTCCGTTCAAGTTCCGTTTTTTACTGGTGGTAGGACCTCTTGTTAGTCCGCGCGGGTAGGTACCACCACCCCGCCTATTTCTGCCGTGAAGCAGTAATGCGTTTCGGTTTGAAAGGTGGGGCAGCCGTTGTAACTATACTGAGACCTTAGAACTTGTATCTCAAGGTAGGTGGCGCATTTACATTGCAGATGTCTATGGGCTTCAGTAACCATTTAACACCAGGTGGGCTGTGAGCTCGTCCAACCATCTAAGCAATAAAAAAAAGGGGGGCTGACCGCATTTCCAGAGGGGAGACACTATTACCAAGAGTGTCCCGGGTCGGACTGCCTACGGCTTCGATTTGGTCTATGGCCTCTCCCAGCTGGTTGGTGGCAGAGTCCATCCGCGTCCTATATATTAAGGAATATGAGCTTTTCTTATTGTGACTTCTGTTGTAAAGTCATCCAGCCTTATCACGATGATCAACGCAGCACTTCGATCGTTTGATCACTATCTTATGCGAGTTACCATGCTATTACTTCATCATTGTCGTTCATGACGGGCTGGGGCGGGTGGTTTCTCTCATGAACTAGGACAGGACGTTAAAGTGTTGGACATGTCAAGCGATACCGCCCAGGACACCTCACACTGATTGACAGAATACATTATTGCTAACACGATTACTACTATACGCTCTTTGAAATAGTATATTGTTCAAATATAATAAACAATTCGTTAAACGTTAGTTAATATTAAACGCTAGTTCTATGTAAATTAGTCGTATTTAATTATTACTATATTCTCTTAAAGTTTTAAAAACACAATTTTATTTAGTGAATAATTAGGTGTTGTTAAAATGAGCCCGCATTGCATTTAGTCTCAAATACAATTTTTTTCCACCTAATTCGGTAGGTGACCTCACAGGCTTCGCCCACTGAGTTTCTCGCCGGATCTTCTCAGTGGGTCGCGTTTCCGATCCGGTGGTAGATTCTGCGAAGCACGACTCTTGCTAGGGTTCGTGTTAGCATCGTCATCAGGTTTGAGCCCCGTGAGCTCACCTACTAGCCACGGTTACGCTGAAATAGCCTCTCAAGGCTATCAGCTTAGGTAGGAAAAAAAAAAAAAACTTAACTTGAGAGAATTGCTAACACTGGCCCTAATACAGGGCCTAACTCTAAGAGCAGTATCTTGCCGAATCTACCACCGGATCGGAATAGCAAGAGCAAAAGCGACTTTTTTATTTGGTCGTTGTATGTAGCTACCGTTGGCCAGGGTCATCGTATCACGCCGTTTTCGAAATTTCGCTCAGATACTCATTTCATGTACTTACTGATGGAATCTAATTCCAGGTCGTCGAGGTCGATATTCCTCAAAGACTACGGTGAAACCGCGTGAGCTAATACTGTACTTGTCCAGTCATGGTTGTACACTTGAAATTCATTTAAAAGAATCGTTTGGATAAATAAATTTTACGTATTGTCACCATGGAAGACAATAATAATAAATGTAATGACATCAGCAACGTCATCATTATTAAAAACAGCATGGAGCGAGTAACGCCATCATATAATTATAGGTACTAGCTTTTGCCCGCGACTTCGTCCGCGTGGAATAGTTAAGTTACTTTGGGATAATGCTAAGTTTTACCCGCGCCTTCATTTACGTAGAACCATATTTTTTTATTGCTTAGATGGGTGGACGAGCTCACAGCCCACCTGGTGTTAAGTGGTTACTGGAACCCATAGATGTCTATAACGTAAATGCGCCACCCACCTTGAGATATAAGTTCTAAGGTCTCAGGTATAGTTACAGCAGCTGCTTCACCCTTCGAACCGAAACGCATTACTGCTGCACGGCAGAAATAGGCAGGGTGGTGGTACCTACCCGCGCGGACTCACAAGAGGTCCTACCACCAGTATATTAGAAAGTATTTTTGAATAATAGAATGTTAAGGAGCTATTAAAGGCTATTAATTTAATCTATACCAATATTATAAAGCTGAAGAGTTTGTTTGTTTGGTTCAATACGAAGTACCTAATTAATTAAATTATAATTTTGCGGGTTTCGATTTTTATTACACGATGCTATTCTTTCACCGTGGAAGTCAATCGTGAACATTTGTGGAATACGTATTTCATTAGAGAAATTGGTACCCGCCTGCGGAATTCGAACACCGTTGCATCACTAGATACAAATGCACCGGACGTTTTATCATTTAGGCCACGACGACTATATAAAGAAGTAGATATGTATACATGATTTTGTCGTATTCAAAATAAGCATTTTCTTTGTATTTGTCGGGGTCGTAATCGCAATTACCATTCATAATGATGAAGTCATTGAATAATTTGCTTGTTTTATTTTTATTCAATTAATTTTACGCACTAATATGGTGATTGTATATTGAGAACATCTGAGAATGGAGACTAAGATACAATAAATATACAATAAATATTTACTCAGTTATAGGCAGTGGCGGATTAAAGGTCCAGAGCGCCCTAGGCAATCACTTTATCGGCGCCCCTGTACCGGCCATAAATGGCCATCATAATACTATAAAATTTAACTAGTTGTTTTTGCAATTACGATGACGTTGTATCATCAAACCCTAGACTTTAGTAAACTAGGACATTTAGTTCAGGCATTTAGTTCTTAATCGTCGATATGTTACGAGTAGAAAGATATGGCAATTATGGTCATTATTTCTTTTACACGCGGGTGAGAGGGGTGCCGCAAAAGTCAATAGATCACGCTATTGCTGTTGCACTCTCCGGTCATCGTTCTTGTCGAACCCGTCGCTTGCGACGAAGGTCTCGACGAGTAAATTAACCCTCAGACACAGCCCCCACTGAGTTTCTGGCCGGATCTTCTCAGTGGGTCGCGTTTCCGATCCGATGGTAGATTCTGCGAAGCACGGCTCCTGCTAGGGTTTGTGTTAGCAACGTCGTCAGGTTTGAGCCCCGTGAGCTCACCTACTAGTTAAGGTTAAGCTGGAATAGCCACTCAAGGCTCTCAGCTTAGGTATGAAAAAAAAAAGTTACACTGTGGTTCAATTTCATTAAAATACACTAATTCCTCGAGTAAAATGAATTTCTCAAATGAAGCTTAGCACAAACAAATATGATGTATATTGCACTGTCACACAAAGAAAAAACGGAGACGAACTGTATACACGTCCATTCAGAACGACAATCAGACGATAGAGGACAACATGCAAGGGCCAGTTCTGTGCTTCCCCTACACACATACCTACAATAGAGCCTTAAATCTATAAACGTAACGATTTAATTCATGGCTTCTGTCGAATTTTTCTTTTTGTTATATTAACTAATAAAACTATAAATTATAATAAAGCTTCAAAATGTAACTAATTTGTTCTTTCATTTATTTAGCTGACAAAAAACAAAAGAAATATTGCAAGAAACTATTTATTCTGTCGTTCGTAAAATATGACATTTTGCATTATGAAGCAAAAATACAAATAGTACAATAAAATTATTTACTGCAACTTTTAAGTTTTAAACAACTAAATAAAAACTTTTATCCGACCTGTATTTATTGGAATGCAAACATACTACTCCCATGATTAGTACGTACACTGAATAAAATAGGTAGGTATTATATAAAAATAAAATATAAAAATTTCTAGAAGTAATATGTATTGATTCTTATTTATTAACCACGTACAAATAGATAGATAAAAGATAACAAACAATATAGGAGTGGCAATTTAGTACCAATACTCCTGGTAACTGCGACTTCAAACCTTCACCAACTACATTACAAAAAAGTAAGTTACTTTATATTACTATATTTCACATGGTGCACTTTAAATAAGTCTATACTGCATGCTCAAATGATCGAAACACATACATGAATATTGCACAGCAAATGTACACAAAAAAAATGACGACTCCAAAAAATAGTCCATGATAACATAAATTAGCTATCTTCAACCAGCTCTGTTTCTTCCTACCATATTCGCTGTCTTTGAGGCCGTCTTTAATGATGAACTTTCTTATGCCTATCAACCATATCGACATATAGTGCGACCAATCGATCTTCGCAACATCAAAATTGAACAATATCCTGTCCGTTTTTGACATTTGGTTCAACATGGCCACGGTGTTGTCATCGACAAGATTCCACTGGTTCCTCAGGAAATAGCCGTACAACAAAGACATGTTGTATATCTTTTCATACATTTTAACGAATCTGCAATTATAAAACATATTGTTCGTTAGACATTTATTTAACACTAGCTGTGTCCGCGACTCCGTCGGCGTGGAATAGCGACTTTGGGCAGCAGTTTTAGGACATATCTTTTGGTTTATAAGCACCGTCATTTAGGTATTTAGAAAAATCTAATTTAAAGTAATGCTTGCTCCATGCAATGACATAGACGTATAGCCATCGGGGATCAAAGCATACAGGTTGCTAGGACTGCTTACATGTGACAGAGCTACATAACCGTGTGACCGAGTTGATTGTGTGAAAAGCAGTTAACACTTATATCTACACCCACAACTTTTAGCGTCTGACCTTGGGCTTTATTTATTATCATCACGAAGCATAGGCTCAATGGAAACGCGATCGGTAGTGATTTGTGCTTCCTGTTCTTCTAGTGTCTCCCGAGACCGGGCAAGCTTTTGCTGTCCGAACCCTCTGAGAGCTCAGACGGATTTCCCTATTAGTAATGGTCTCAGACTCAAGCGATAGTGCATGCGCCTCGCGATCGGCAGTAAGACGTGCCTTGAAGTCGTCGTGGTCTAAAGGATAAGACGTCCGGTGCATTCCGGTGTAGCGATGCACCGGTGTTCGAATCCCGCAGGCGGGTACCATTTTTTCTAATGAAATAGGTACTTCACAAATGTTCACGATTGACTTCCACGGTGAAGGAATAACATCGTGTAATAAAAATCAAACCCGCAAATTTATAATTTGCGTAATCACTGGTGGTAGGACCTCTTGGGAGTCCGCACGGGTAGGTACCACCACCCCGCCTATTTCCGCCGTGAAGCAGTAATGCGTTTCGGTTCGAAGGGTGGGGTAGCCGTTGTAACTATACTGAGACCTTAGAACTTATATCTCAAGGTGGGTGGCGTATTTACGTTGTCCGCACGGGTAGGTACCACCACCCCGCCTATTTCCGCCGTGAAGGAGTAATGCGTTTCGGTTCGAAGGGTGGGGTAGCCGTTGTAACTATACTGAGACCTTAGAACTTATATCTCAAGATGCGTGGCGTATTTACGTTGTAGATGTTTATGGGCTCCAGTAACCACTTAACACCAGGTGGACTGTGAGCTCGTCCACCCATCTAAGCAATAAAAATAAAAAAAACGTGCTTCTCATTCTGCAAGTCTCTCCTGAGACCGGGCATTTGCTGTCCGAACCCTCTGAGAGCTCAGACAGATTTCCCTATCAGTAAAGGTCTCAGATTCACGCTATAGTGTATAAGATTCACGATCGATGGACAAACTGCGTCACGCTTTTCCCTGTTCACCCTAATTCGAGTGGTCTTTTTTTGAGAACAATGTGAACTCAGTCGAGATTCTCGCTGAGCCGAAATTTCTTTAACACGAAACCTCGCCTGGCGTTCCTGAGATGTAGTGAGGTATTGCCTCATGACCGGCTTCAGTTTCTGTGATCGAATTAATTTCATCCTTTTAAAATTCCTGCTGCACAGGGAGAGGTTGGATCTTTTTCGAGGCATTCTTACAATAAGTAGTACCTACTAACACAACGTTGTTTAGTAAACACGTATTTATCATAAAACTAAATTATAAATACTAACAGATTATTACACAGTTTAACTTTATTACAGTTTATTAATTATTAATAACTATTAAGTCGTATCAACCTAATCTTTTAACTATAGAAAACAAACGTGCCTATGGGTTAATTTATTCATCGAGCCTTTCGTCGCAAGCGACGCGACGGGTTCGTCAAGGTAGCAGCGGGGCGCTTTGTATACCCGCGCGGCTGCACAGACGTAAACAATCTACAAACGACCAGCTACGTGTTTCTTGAAATTGGCATAACTTTTTTATTTATGAACCAATTGACATGAAACAAACACTAAATGTTAAGTAAAGCTTACCACAATAAAATAGTGAAGAACAAATTTAAATCGGCAGAGCTGTCTCTGAGATTAGCGTGCACAAACGCACAGACAAACAGACAAAAATTCTAAAAATCACTTTTTTGTGTTCTATTGCGGTCATAAAGCCCCCTATAACAGTTTTCCTGAGATATCTTCCATGTACAGACAGCGACCAGTTACGATTTTATTATATGTATTGATGAGATAAACCAACAATATATACCTGATTATTTCATGTCTTTACGTAACTTTGGTATCATTGTGAATTTTCTGTTGTTAACCCGGCTATGTTCCATAATATCACTTACCTACATGTTTTATGACGCCTTGAGAATATAAGCCCAGGAGTACTTACGACTTTATGCCCTCAGGACGCTTCATGGAGGTCACATTAAACACGAAGTCGGCTACATACGCAGGTATATAATGCAGTAGCCATGTTAACAACCAAAATACAACATCGCTACTGGTCTCAAAACCATAACAGTACCAAACGGCTTTCGGCGTAGCGTACTGTTGTGTGTTAGGATTGTTCAGGAAATCAGACACAAAAGCTGTAAAAAGAGATTTCGATTTAAATAATTTAAAGTTTGAGAGAGGTTCCAGTTGGAGAGACAAATATTGACGGAGGCTAAACGTCATGATAATCGCCTTATCATTACCGCCGCTGACTACTCTCCGAATCCTGATCACGCTGAAGCTAGTCACCGTCGACGCCCTAGACACGTCCTTACGGAACCATCAGATCCAATAATTCTTGCATTAGACGCCTTCAGCTCTAACTCTGCAAAGAGTTCGACATACAACCTTACCCATGCATCAGCCCGCTGAGTTTCTCGCTCGGTCTTCTCACCGGGTCGCGATTCCAATCCGGTAGACGATTCATTAACGAAGCAGCTGCTCTTGAGAAGTTAGGTTGGCTAATCTCACCCTTCCTAGCTGAGCCTGTGCTCGGCCACATGTCCTGGTGAAACTAGAAAGGCCTCCGAGGCAAGCGGAGTGAAGTCGTCGTGGCCTAAATGATAAGACGTCCGGTGCATTCGTGTGTAGCGATGCACCGGTGTTCGAATCCCGCAGGCGGGTACCAATTTTTCTAATGAAATACGTACTCAACAAATGTTCACGATTGACTTCCACGGTGAAGGAATAACATCGTGTAATAAAAATCAAACCCGCAAATTTATAATTAGCGTAATCACTGGTGGTAGGACCTCTTGGGAGTCCGCACGGGTAGGTACCACTACCCCGCCTATTTCCGCCGTAAAGCAGTAAAGCGTTTCGGTTCGAAGGGTGGGTTAGCCGTTGTAACTATACTGAGACCTTAGAACTTATATCTCAAGGTGGGTGGCGCATTTACCTTGTAGATGTCTATGGGCTCCAGTAACTACTTTACACCAGGTCAGATTGTCCACTCATCCAAACAATAAGAAAGGCAAGGTAATGCTTCAATCATAAAAAAAAATACGCTTAAAGTGGATGGCAAACGATCCAGGGGTCGGAGCCCGAAATAATGAAGTAATCAAGTGTATGAGTAATCAATGAGTGAATAATCTCGTCACGGAACTGAGCGACGCATTTCACTGTGCCACTGACCGACATAACTGGCTACAGATCACAAGAAAAGATTTCAGATTGGCACAGTACGGTGCTTTTTTTGGAATGGTCATATTTTTGGCACCTTTTTATCCTATGCTGACAGCCTTGAGAGCTTCGCCCTGACGTGTAGGAGAGTTCACGGGGCTCAACCGGGAGTGTTGTTTACAGTGGCCCTAACAAGAGCAGTGCTTCGCAGAATTTACCACCGGATCGGAAACGAGACCCACTGAGAAAATCCGGGGAGAAACTCAGTGGGCTGTGTCTATGGGTTAACTTACACGTCGTGCCCTTTGTCGAAAGCGTCGGGTTCGACGAGGACGGTGACCGGTGCTTGAGGTATCTAAAAGCACCGTTAATGGATTGGGAGGATCCGCAATAATGTGCTTAGGGCGACGTCGACTGTTTACCATGCGGTCCACAGGATCGGGTATGAAAGCACCCCAGGAGTAGTCCCTAGCGTTATCGGGGCGGGATCTGTCACTCTGTACTCAACTCCCTGTTGCTTCTTGTGCGCTTTAATACGCCACACGCACACATACACACACGAATGGTTTTGTTTAAAGGCCATAATCCTGTTAAGCCTGAATTATGAAGTCGTCGTGGCCTAAAGGATAAGACGTCCGGTGCATTCGTATCGAGCGATGCAACGGTGTTCGAATCCCGCAGGCGGGTACCAATTTTTCTAATAAAATACGTACTTAACAAATGTTCACGATTGACTTCCACGGTGAAGGAATAACATCGTGTAATAAAAATCAAACCCGCAAAATTATAATTTGCGTAATTACTCGTGGTAGGACCTCTTGTGAGTCCGCACGGGTAGGTACCACCGCCCCGCCTATTTCTGCCGTGAAGCAGTAATGCGTTTCGGTTTGAAGGGTGGGACAGCCGTTGTGACAATACTGAGACCTTAGAACTATATCTCAAGGTGTGTGGCGCATTTACGTTCTAGATGTCTATGGGCTCCAGTAACCACTTCACACCAGGTGGGTTGTGAGCTCGACCACACACTTAAGCAATAAAAAAAAAAAATTGCTGTCAACTGTTCTGAATAAAATGTGGGCACGAACGGCTTTCACAGTCACGAAATCATAATCATAACCAGTTACTCTTCACAGAGCAGTCGTGGTCATGTAGAATCCTTGTTTATAAAAGCCTTGACAGCTGCTCATATAGAGTAACTAGCAGCCCGCTCCGGGTCTGCTCGGGTCTTTAACAAAAATTTCAACGATATTTGACGTTGTTTTATTTTTTTAAATAAGATAATACTTATTGCGGCATAACTATAATAGTTAGACATATGCTGTCGCGACACTTTTTGTAAATAATAATGTGTTCTACAAAGTCGTAGTACATTAGTTTATTCTATCATCAATAGTTTTCGCAGGGCACGCGATGTAAAGAATATTTTAGGTAATTTTTTTACACCTTGGGTTACATTATTGGAGTATTAGCAAGGATCCCTAGTTTTTTTCAAAAAAGATTATAGCCTATGTTACTCGGGAATAGTGTAGCTTCCAAACAGTGAAAGAATTTTTCAAATCGGTTCAATAGTTTCGGAGCCTATTCAATACAAACAAACAAACAAATCTCTCCTCTTTATAATATAGACGAAATAATAGCTTAATAAACATTGCAGTGGAGACTTTCCCCTCAAATACTGAAGTGCACTAAACAATAAAAGTTGTCCGTGAACCCTGACAATAGCCGTAAGCTTTTCTAATCACGTATGTTGAATCATTTTGATACTTACATGTTTCAATTTTGCTCCCAGAACAGCTTATATTATAAACTTTAATTCCTTTTTCATTCTTATTGTAACGTTTATTGGTATACGATGCTGTTGCTATTACCGCATTGTTGACGTAGTCCACGGGCATTATTGGAATGCTAACATCACTCCTTAAAATTACGTGCATAACGCCTAGCATTAATGTCAAAAATATCTGAAAAAAAAACAAATTACATTATCTGTGCTTATGTTTGATAGCTGATTTAGCAGAGTTATTGGAATTAATCATAGACCTATATAGTAGGGACACGACATATTGTTCTATACGTACAATTGCTTATATAAATAACACCCATTTTGAAGGCACACACATAAACATATATCTATCTCGTTCTTACTCAGCACTGTAACTCGCAGGAAAACAATTTAACAGTATTTCAGTGCGTACATAAAATGAAACATGAATATACGTAAATGTCTAATGGGCCGAAATTCCGCCATGTTTAGCGCACCAAATGTCATTGTCACGTCAGTTCGGCCGTCTGTTTTGGGTTGTACATTATTTATTGACTGTGATATCGATTTAATATGATTGCTTATATAAAATTCTTATTTTATCATGCTTAAAACATACAAAAATAATAATTAAAACATATTCTATAGGATCTCAAGAAAGTCGATGCCCCAAAACTATTATCTATATATATTTAAATTCATTATGAAGCCCTCATCCGAAAAATCGAACACCATTTTTCGGTCGGAATCTATTGATCATGACACTAATCATAAACACCTCTTAATAAAATATGTCATCAAAACATATTTAGACATTCTGTTTAGATATTTCGGGAAAAAGGCTACCGACAAAATCTCTTCGGAACTATTTAAATAAAATAGTTTTATTCCGTAGTGAGTAAAACACTATTGTAAATTCGTTAAATATTTAATAATTAAGTGATTTTAGAGAGGAAGTCACAAGGAATGACGTTTGTAATTAATGAATAAATGTTCTGTAGGGGTTTTTTGTATCACGCGGTCCCTTGATAAGTTTAGAATCTATCTCAAGTGAGAGCTATTCAAATGGTGCGGCGCACCTTCCTGGAGGTGTGCTGCGGTATTGTGTAACGGACTTTAGAGTCAGCAAAACAATTAAAATAGATTGTAATAGTCTAAGAAAAACACGTACTCTAAATACGATAACATTTAGCATGCTAGAAATGGGCAGATGTCACTGTACTACGCCATATCTTTATGTTTTGCGGCAAACGACAACTTTATGAAATCAGTGTAGCAAATTAAAAAAATCTTCATATCGTTTACTTGGCATATTTGAAGCACGAACTCGTCTTAAATTTCACATAATATCTAAATCACATCATCTTTGCACATAACAATATACTTACTTCCTATTAAAGTATAAATTCTACAAATAATTCATACTCAACAATATTTAAAATAAAATGAGCCAAGAACGTTTATCGATAAAACCCACTAACATTAAACTCTTCTGGGCAGCACTAAAACCGCCATGTTTTGTGGTCAGATGACGTCACAGTGGCACGAATTTTTTGTTGACGTTTCATTTCCATAGGTTTCATACTTCAGTGGAATTAATGCATTAATTTTTTTAAGTCATCAAATCATATCACCATAAATCATACATAGAAGCTAAGAGGCATCACTTTGACAAGCCTCTTCTATGTGATTCGATAGATGACTTCTCTGAATCCAAAAAAATCTAACAAGTCAACCTTAACCAACATACGAATAGCCAACAGTCGAAAGATACGGATCGGCGTTTGTGAAAAAGAACACCATCAAACTTACATGATACATTTATTTTAGAACTATCGACAAAGCTAATCATATTGTATTGTTTGGCAACCAATACGAGTTCATACTCCGTTACTTCGCTTGAGAATTGGGCAGTAAGGTGTAACCATGGGTGTGTAGGAATATACGACAAAGGGAAGATCTTCCACCGAGCAGGTGTTATTGCTCGGTAGACCGACGGTCCGAATGTTGTTGTTCGGAACTTGTATATATGCGCCTTATCTTGAAAATGTCGTAAGCGAGATTCAGGCATCTGTCAATTATCTTGCGTTGAATGATGGCTACCCGCCACAGGTGTACATACAAATCTTAAAATACACCCATATGTATGAAATAAATGTATAACTATGTACACACCTCAAGGTGGGTGGCGCATTTACGTCGTAGATATCTATGGGCTCCATTAACCACTTAATACACCAGGTGGGCTGTAAGCTCGTCCACCCATCTCTTCTTCTCCATCGCTCCCTCATTGCTGAGGATCGTGACTCCGTTTCAGCTTGTCGACTGCCAGCCTCCATCGGTTCCGGTCAGTTGCCTGGTGTAGTGCAGCGCTAAGTGGTCCGCTGGTTTGCTCGGAGATCTGGTCGGACCAACGTTTGAGGCTCCGGCCTCTAGGACGTTTTCCTTCTACTTTTCCAGTAACCATCAGACGTTCCAAGTTGTCTACACCTCTGCGGGCAACGTGGCCAAAGTAGCGCATTATGCGTTGCAGACAGGCGTTGAGCGTTCTCCATTTTAAGCTTTTGTAGGACCGAGATATTCGTGCGGTGGGCTGTCCATGGAATCCTTAATAGGCGGCGCCAACACCACATTTCAAAAGCATCAACTCTGTTTCGGTCACCTGTTTTATGGTCCATGTTTCTGCTCCATAGAGAGCGATTGGAAAGACCAATGAGTGCACAAGACGTATTTTGGTCTTATTCGAAATGTTACGGTCTTTCCAAACTTTGCACAACTGCGTCATAGCTGTCTTAGTCATTCCAATACGTCGGCGTATTTCAGGCTCACAACTCCCCTTATCCGTGATCACAGAACCAAGGTAGGCAAACTGGTCTACGGCCTCTTATTCTGCCAGAAGGTCCGTACGCTGAGTGGATGAGAAGCGGTCTACGACTAGCAGCTTGCTCTTGCTTTTGTTAATTGCTAGTCCCATGTTTAGGCTTATAGCCTCTAATCTGTCCAGAAGCTCCTTCATCTCCGCCTCAGATGATGCAAGAAGTGTGGTGTCATCGCCATATCTCAGGTTCGTTAACTGAACTCCACCTATTCTAACGCCTCCTTCCCAGTGTTCTAAAGCCTGGCGCATTATATATTATCCATATACTTAGTCTGGCCATAAATACTGTTTCAAAGGAGAAAAAAATCTGTTAAAAATAAAATTTATTACTTTTACAGTGTGTTAGTTTAATACATAAATATAAAACAATTTAAAGTATAAAAACTTATCCGAAGTTATCTCCATTGGCTGCAATACAGTCCTTTAAACGTTGAGGCCAGTTATCAATAGAAGCATGCACTCTTTCCATGGGAAAATTTTTCACTGCCAATCGTACGGATTGTTTTAGGGACTCCAAATTATCATGGCGTTTAGAGCAAGCCGTACTCTCTAAAACTGACTATAAATCATAATCCAGCGTATTAAGATCGGGACTAGACGACGGCCAGTCTTCAGCTCTGACGAAGTCCGAAACGTTCGTTTCCAACCAAGACTGCGTAGACTGAGCCTTATGACCTGGCGCCGAGTCTTGCTGGAAAGACCATTCTTGATTATTGAACATGGTGTTGGGGGCTTCACTACCTTCTCAAGAATGGTATCTTGATACACTTGTGCCGATGTTTTGATACCTTTTTTACAAAAGTATGGCTCAGTCCTTCATAGCTAATACCCCACCAAACCATCACTGAAGTCGGATAGTGCCCACGTTGCACTCTGTCGACCAATTGGGAAGCTTCCTTAGAGCTTTGAGCATAAATACGGTCATTTTGTTTGTAAAATGTTGCTCAATTGTAAAAATTTTCTCATCCGTAAACAAAATTTTTCTATGACCTCCCTTTGCGTACCGCTTCAGTAATTGTTTCGATTTTACCACCCTATTCTCTTTTAAATTATCAGTTAAGAAACGACCAGTACGTCTCTTATAGGCTGCAAGTCCTAAGTCATCTTTTAAAATACGCGGACATGGTTCTAGGTGCTATCTTCATCTCCCGAGATAAAATCTTTTGCTTTCGGACAGGATTTCTTCGAATTCTTTCCCTGACTGCTTTGACCACCTTTTTCGTGCGAACACTACGTGGACGGCCAGATCTTTTTCTGTCACAAACAGAGGAGGTCTCATTGCAACTATTAATAGCCCGGTACACAAACATTTTACTAATACCAAGCGTATGGAGAGTTTTAAAAATTGCATTTGGCTCCATACTTACTTTGTATAATGCAATCACAGCGATTCGGTTTTCTTTATCACCCCACTCCATTTCAATATCGCAAAATATTGTACAATGTATTGGCGCCAAAATAAGAAAACTCAATGAGCAATCATATAAAAATCACATTCCAAATTCAAATGTAATATTTTGTTTATTTTTAATTGTAACAGTATTTATGGCCAGACTAAGTAATTTGAAGAGAATAGGCGAGATAATACATCCTTGCCGGAATCCTTTTTGGAATTGAAATTTACTTCAAGTGGCATTTTCGATAGAGACAGACCCAAATCCCGACTCGTACAGGTTGCGAATCAACATAACAAGATGACTCGGAACTCCTGTTTCACTTAGGATCTCCCACAGTTTCTCCCATTTCACGCAATCAAAGGCCTTCTGATAATCTACGAAGCACATAAAGACAGGTGTGTTGTACTCGTAGCATTTCTCTACAATGAGTAACAAGTTTAGAATTTGCTCTCTCGTGCCCCTCCCCCTAACAAAACCCGCCTGCTCCTGAGGTATCTACCAGTCAAGGAACGATTTTATTCTGCTATTTATGACGTGTAGTAGGATCTTGCTAGCGTGCGACACAAGGGCTATCGTTCGGTAATTGCTACTATTGCGCACTGAGCCCTTTTTGTGGAGAGGCAGTATAGATGAGTGCACCCAGTCTTTAGGCCAGTGTCCTGTTTGCCAGATTGCGTTGCAGATATTATGCAGGTTTGACACTCCATTTGGACCCAGGCCTTTCAATACTTCTGTTGTGATTTGGTCAGGACCTGGAGCTTTTTCCACCCATCTAAGCAAAAAAAAAACCAACCGTTTTTATCTAATCCCAACTTTGATTTATACTTACCCCGCTTGGACCAATCACCGAGCTCATATCCAGCCATCCAGGTGTGGGTTCATTGAGCGTGCAGACAACTGAAAACGGAAAATATAATGGATTGCTTCGATCGTCACATAAGAGGTCCGGTGTTAAACTACACATGTGGCCAGTTACTACATATTTATATGTCTCGACTTTAACTATTTCTGAAAGAAAAGCCCTTGAATACTTGCCTACGGGTGGCCTCACTATGGCCACAGGTAAATCCTTGCCCATTGTACGCACGACATCCTCAGCTATGGCCTTCGTGAAGCAGTACGTGTTGGGCCAGTCCCTTATCAAACTGAAAACAGGAATTCATTACACATGACAGATTTCAAACTACTGCTGTCTGGACGTGCCCTCACGACCCTCGGTCCCAGAGCTCTCATCCACCCAAGTGACGCACTCCACGTATTCACTTCGGCTCGTCTACTCACTCAGCAGTGATCGCGTTGAGTCTGCATTCTTCGACTGTCTCCGCGAGCTGTATCATGACTTCCGGAGGGACAGGGCTTTCATAGATTTTCTCTTCCAAATCGTGATTTATTTTACTCTTGGTTGCATTAGAGAACGCAGTTGACACGTGTACGAAGGACCTACAGATAATTAAATAAACCAGACGTTTAGTGTTGACGGGATGTGTTCTGTTTTTTATGATTACATCTTATAAGGTTATAGTCCGGGTGGTACATTTAAGATAAACCCTTTATGTGGTCCCTTGTGGTAAACAAAATAATACAAACAATTCACAGCACAAGGTTCGTTGTAAGGAAGAAATCACCTTAGATCTTTGCAGCATTTGGCCAATTCCATGATCTCCCTGGTTCCTCTGACGTTGATGAATGTGGCCTTCTTCAGTGGCTCTTCGAACCTGGTCGTGGCAGCCACATGGAATATCACATTCACCTAAAATTTATTCTTTACGATAACGTCAGTTTTGTAAATCTTGGATGTCGACTTGAAACTATGAAATATACATGTACACACTTGACAAGTGCTGGGATGTAATTAGGATGTACTCGTACAGATAGATGAAACGGCTGTTTATAGCTGGGTTTCTATAAGACAGTAAAATGTCATCAACATTAAGATTTCGATCTTATTTTTCAGTTTGGGTTGCATATTTTAACCTTGGCGCTACCATGGTACAAACTGAAATCTATAGCTGCTTCTTCTCATGCTGGCTCCGAACCTATCACTGATCTTACAAGGTGTATGTATAGTGGCTGTTCGGGAATTAATGAATTAAAATAATATAAATTGGAATAAAATTCAGAGCGTATATTTTAAACGTGTCACACAGTGCTCAGTTTACGCGGAAGGCAAAAAACAGTTTATATATTCAGGCGCCTGAACAGTGGCAGTAAGAGAAGTATACCTCTTGCGCAAGCTTCATCCTGTCTTCGTTGTTCAGGCCGACGCCTAGCTCTGAGATGTCGCCTTCCACCGGTATAACTTTCCGAGTGAAATCTGGTTGTTGAGATCGTAAATTGTCGTATACCTTAAACAATAAATAGATTTAGAACAACGAATACAATTTGCGGTCAAACTCCGTGCGTCACAGGCATACATACACAGGCTGTATCTACACAATACAGAATGGGCAGTATCTACTAATTCTAGAAGCTCTATATTCCGGCCATTTTTTATACTGAAACAGAGAAAACTTGAGAACTAAACTGACAAAAGAAGACGTATTTTGTTAATGATTCTTTATCAGTTCGTTCTGTTGAATAGGGCTTAAATTATACTTTTGGTGACGGAATCATAATGTATAGAAAATCGAAAAATAGGATATACTTTTTTTTTTAATCTAAGCGAATCTTCACAAAGCTTGTGCAACACGACGTCATTGCATGTGACTGACGCAACTCTATTTGAAATTAATACCACAAAAGTTGGACTAACTGGCTCGTTTAATTGTGACTGCAGTCTTTCTGACATTGATTTCCCTTTTTTCGACCTCATCAGTATGTAAATCCGCTTAACGTCACATGATCTGAAACATAAATGGTATTGTCGTGCCGATACAAAGATCGCCGAATGTCTATTTCTGCTATTTGACCACAGATATGGTGATGACCACGGTCAAAACAATTATCGGTAATAGTATCGACAACGTTCGAGAAGTGTTATGGCGGTACAAGTAGCACCATCTGCTATTAAATAGCAAAAACCCCAAAACGGCTGGTAATATCAAAAATGTTTTGGAAAATGGTAAACATGTATCGACTATAAAAGTGTTGCAAAGACGATATATTCTAGCATGGAGGCGAAGCGAAGTGTCTTAATAATTAATTTTAATTTTAATTTGTATTTCTTTGGAGCTATTATTTATCCTGAGCGCCAGTACGTAACGTTGTATTAAAATTATAATATTACACAATAAAATTAACCAAAGTATCATTCATTATGTCTGTGCTTCGGCCTTAGAGCACACGAGACGCGTACAAGTACTCAGTGGCACCGAACACTAAATGCTTTAATTAAAGTTCTGGCTTCATCGAGAATCAGAACAGAAACTCGTGCCGAAACGAGCAAGGCACTGAAGTGAACGATGGTTCGCGGGATTTACAATATCCAGGAAACCCTTTTTTTTCTCTGCCTAAACTGATAGCCTTGAGAGGCTATTTCAGCGTAACCTTAACTAGTAGGTGAGCTCACGGGGCTCAAACCTGACGAAGATGCTAACACGAACCCTGCAAGAGCCGTGCTTCGCAGAATCTACCACCGGATCAGAAACGCGGCCCACTGAGAAGATCCGGCGAGAAACTCAGTGTCTATGGGTTGTCAGGGATCCCACGACACGTCTGAGAGCCGCCATCACGAGACATTGCCGCTATGTCATTGGGACTATAGGCAGTACGCTTTTAGAGACCGTTTCTGCCACGTACCATCCCACTCCAGAATCAATGCCCCGTGGTATTCCCTCAACGCTATTATATGTCCTTTTTAAAGCTTAGAAAGAGCTCTCAGTGTCTTGCCTGTACTCTCAGTATTACAAACTATCTGTCCACGCAATAGCAACTTTACGAATCTAATTTGAGTTGTAAGTTGTTTATGGCACCATCGATCACCTTAGAAGCTTCTCTATGAGTTGTTTCCCGATGAAGCCCGTCCCTCCAGTGATCAGCGCTGTGGTTCCCGCGTAGAACTGCCGCACAGCCGACACGCCGCGAAGCGCTTCCTCCTCCAGCGCCTTCTGACGCGAGACCTGCTCGATCTCCAAAGCCAAAGCGATGTCCATTCTGAAACTGCTTTTTTTTACATGCTATATTATTTTTTATATTAGCAAACGAAACAACTGAAAGTTCAAATGCCGTTAAATTCTATTTATAATTTCACTCTATAAAAAATGGTAGGCCGCTTGGCTCTGCCGGTTCTGGCATTGTTGTCGTCCATGAGTGACGGTGACCACTTTCCATCGGGTGGGCCGTATGCTAGTCTGCCTAGAAAGGGAATAAAAATATAAAATAAAAAAGTAATGCTCTTAACACAATATCACACGATGGAAGTCAATCGGTGACCATTTGATAAGTATGTCGAATTTCATTAGAAAAATCGGTACCTGTCTGCGGGATTCGAACACCGTTGCATGGCTTTACACGAATCCATCGGGCATCTTATCCTTTAGTGCGCGACAAATTCTAACGCCTTGAAAACGTTGTCAAGCTTAAGGCTGCCTGTCCACCGGAGCGGAGCGAGGCGGTGGAGCGGAGAAACGGAGAAATATTAACCAATAAGATTGTATAAATCTCCGCTCCTCTTTAGTGGACAGGGAGTTGCGAACTATATACATAGTTTTAAAATTCATACAAAACCGTTAAGCCGAGCGGGATAGCGGAACAAGGCAGCGGAGAGGGGAAGCGAGTGCGGACGCGGGTGCAAGGCGGGCCCGCAGTGTGATCTGACTCGTCGCGTAGATACTAAACTCCGCTCCGTATTACTTTCTCGCTCCGCTCCACTGCCTCGCTCCGCTCCGGTGGGCAGGAAGCCTAATGGTACTTAGGAATGATTGAGAAAGATCTAAAATACACTAATTATATAAAAAAAGTTATATTATAGGTAATGTACATTGCTGCACACAAAAATCCACAATAGGAATTTTATGTAAATATTTTTATCGGCCAATTACGTTAATGTGTATACTAACGGTTGAACAAGTCCAAACCTCGGATAATAGTTTGTTCGTGTTGACTGGGCAGTAGCAGTGGCCAGGGCAGGCTATTTATGGTCGTACAATTAGCAAAGCTGAAGCACTTGTGATACAATTGCCGATTCACTTCCTCGACTTAGGAATATATTAGTATGTTCTTGTTGAACTTCAAACTCTATTACTTATTTATGAGTGCAATTTGAGATTTATTATTTAATTTTTTTAACGGGTTCCGCTGACCCAGTCACGCTAGCTGTTCGTATGAAAAAAACGAGTTATTGAGACTTTCCGCGCGCCTCCATCCATTTTACTGGTGGTAGGACCTCTTGTGAGTCCGTACGGGTAGGTACCACCACCCTGCCTATTTCAGCCGTGAAGCAGTAATGCGTTTCGGTTTGAAGGGTGGGGCAGCCGTTGTAACTATACTGAAACCTTAGAACTTATATCTCAAGATGCGTGGCGCATTTACGTTGTAGGTGTCTATGGGCTCCAGTATGGTTACACCAGGTGGGCAGCTCGTCTACTCAACTAAGCAAAAATATTCCGTTCAAGAACGACTGACCGCATTGAGCAGTTCGCATTTGTAGAGGGGAGACACTATTAACAAGAGTTTCTCGGGTCGGACTGCCTACGGCTTGGACTCGGCCTACGACTTCTTCCAGCTGGTGGTTTACCCGAGTTACCATGCCATTAGTTCATCACTCTCGTCGACGACTGGGCTGGTGCGGGGTGGTTTCTGTCATGAACTAGAACAGGAAGTTAACGTGTTGGACTTTTTTTGCATTAATGCGTTGTCGAGCTCACAGCCCACCTGGTGTTAAATATTTACCGGAACCCATAGAGCCCATCTATGTAAATACCGCCAACCACCTTAGGATATGAGTTCTAAGATCTCAGTATAGTTACAACGGCTGCCCCACCCTTCAAACCTAAAGGCATTACTGCTTCACGGCTGAAATAGACAGGGTGGTGGTACCTACTCGTGCGGACTCATAAGATATCCTAACACCAGTAATTACGCAAATTATAGTTTTGCGGATTTGATTTTTATTACACGATGCTATTCTTTCACCGCGAACATTTGTTAAGTTTTTTGAAGTACCTTTGTGGTCAAATTGAGAAATATGAGAATATATATATAT